GTGGGCCTCTCACTGTTGTGGTCTCTCCCGTTGCGGAGCACAGGCTCCGGACGTGCAGGCTCAGCAGCCATGGCTCACGGGCCCAGCCGCTCCACGGCATGTGGGATCTTCCCAGACCAGGGCACGAACCCACGTCCCCTGCATCGGCAGGTGGACTCCCAACCACTGTGCCACCAGGGAAGCCCCAGAGAGGCCTTTTCTGATTACCCTCCCTAAAAGAGCACACGCTCTCCCCCCACCCCCATTATGCTCTAACATCTTACTCTGCTTATTTTGTTCAAAGGACTAATCACTAGCTGAGATTATTCATTCATTTCCTTATTTTTTGTCTGGCTCCCCACTAAAAGGTAAGCACCAAGAGGGCAGAATCTTTGTCTGTCTTGTTCACCAATGTATCCTTAGTGCCTAGGACAGTTGTCTGGCACAGAGTATGTTTAATAAGTATCTATTAAATAAATAAATGAAGAATAACATGGGAGACCCCCCCCCCACCACTAAACTCATCTGGTAACAAAAGAAATTCAGAAAAACAAAAATATGTATGCAAAAAGTAAACAGTAATATATAAACTATAAGTTCCCTATATTCAATTTAAAATAAAGCCACAGCTTTGGCACAGCAAAGGAAACTATCAACAAAACTAAAAGGCTGCCTACTTAATGGGAGAAGAGATTGGCAAATGATATATCTGATACGGGGTTAATATCTAAAATATAAAAAGAACTCATATGACTCAGCAAAAAACAAACAACCTGATTGAAAAATGGGCCAAGGATCTGAACAGACATTTTTCCAAAGACATACAGATGGCCAAGAGGCACATGAAAAGATGCTCAACATCACTAATCAACAGGGAAATGCAAATCAAAACTACAATGAGATATCACCTCACACCTGTCATCATGGCTATTACCAAAAATACAACAAATAACAAATATTGGTGAGGATGTGGAGAAAAGGGAACCTTCATGCACTGTTGATGGGAATGTAAATTGGTGCAGCTACTGTGGAGAACAATATGGAGATTCCTCAAAAAATTAAAAATAGAACTATCATATGATCCAGCAATTCTACTCCTGGCTATTTATCTGAAGAAAACAAAAACACTAATTACAAAAGATATATGCATGCCTATATTCATTGCAGCATTATCCATTAATAGATGAATGGATGAAGAAAATGTGGTACACACACACACACACACACACACACACACACACACACAATGGATATGCTCAGCCATAAAAAAGAATGAAATCTTATCATTTTCAGCAACATGGATAGACCTGGGGGGGTATTATGCTAAGTGCAATAAATTAAACAGAGGAAGACAAATAATGTATGATTTCACTTATATGCAGAATCTAAAAATAAAACAAATGAACAAACATAACAAAACAGAAACAGAATTATAGATACAGAGAACAAACAGGTGGTTGCCAGAGGGGAGAATGTGGTGGGAGAAGGAGAGAACTGGGTGAGGGAGATTAAGAGGAACAAACTCCCAGTTGCAAAATAAGTCAAGGGTATGAAATGTATGGTGTGGGGAATACAGTTAATAATTACGTAATATCTTTGTTTGGTGACAGACGGTAACTAGACTTATCCTGGTGATAATTTTGAAATATAGCAAAGTATGGAATCACTACATTGGGTAACAGGAACTAACATAGTGTTGGAGGTCAATTATACTTCAGAAACAAACAAAAAACACAGAAGAAGAGACCAGATTTGTGGTTATTGGAGGAGCCGGGCCAGGGGAGGGGGAATTGAATGCAGGTGGTCAAAAGGTACAAACTTTCACTTACCAGATAAATAAGTACTAGGGATACAGTGTACAACATGATAAATATAATTAGCACTGCTGTATGTTATACATGAAAGTTGTTAAGAGAGTAAATCCTAAGAGTTCTCATCACAAGGAAAAATTTTTTTTCTATTTCTTTAATTTTATATCTATATGAGCTGAAGGATAGTCACTAAACTTACTGTGGTAAACATTTCATGATATATATGTCAAACATTATGCTTTACACCTTAAACTTATACAGTGCTATATGCCAATTATATCTCAATAAAACTGGGAAAAAAGCATTGACATGTTAAAAAAAATAGATAAAATAAAATAAAGCCAGTATTTCATTTTACTTTAGGGCAGTGAAACATTACACAATTCATTATAAATCATCTGAATCAACCAACCAAATCTAAATTTTCAATTGATAGGAAAAATAAAATTAACTTATTAGTAAAATAGGAACACAAAGTGCTGTTATGGCTGTCAAAGTTTAACATCTAGAAATGAAGTAAACCCATGGCAGTGAAATTTGGGGATGAATGGGCATATAACATTCATTATGATTTGGATTAAGGAGATACACTGTTTCAGAGCTCAAGGGAAAACAGGTACTCCCCACCCCAGCCCCCCGATAATATTTAGTTCCAGAAGATTTATATGCTTAATTTTAAAATATAACATTCTCTTAAAACATCAAATAGTTATCGTAAATTCAAGCCAAACCAGCAATAATAATAATAATAATAATGCTATCTGTTTACATAATCATTGTTCAGGCTTACAACTTCTATTAATACTTTATTGTTTTTTTAATTAAAATTATACTGTTCAAATTAAGTCAGACATGAAATTCGCTTTGGAAGAAAATCACTTTGGTGTATTATTTAAACCTTTGAGGATAAAATCCACGTAAGTTCTTCCAATCATGCAGAACTAACAGGACATGTGAGATGTAAAATGGACATTTATTTTTATTATTTTCAATACAAGATCAGAGTTACAATAAGTTTCTCAGAAACTATTGTAATAAATTACTTCATGGTACAAAACTGCCATCACAATTTTCCCGGTGAGTAGCAGATGGGGCAGCTAAGTTTCACATGCTTATTTCCCAAAGTGGTATTGGTAGAGGAAAACGCAATTTCTAAAATGGGGATATGTTAGAAATGTAATACTTCTTTTTGCATGATGTTAATAACTTCTATCTAAATTAATCAAACTAATTAATTTGATGTAATAGGAACCGATGCAAATGGATTTCATTATAAAGGTAATCTAAGGATATGAAATTCTATCTCTATTTAAATTGATTCCCTTTAAAATTTTTCTGTAAATGACATAGCTTCACCAGAAATGCTCACAGGGACTGATTCATAGATGTAATAATATTACAACTGGACAGACTAAAAAATAATAGAAATAATAGAAAATAATAATCAAGGGTAAATGTCCTGGCTCTACCCTCAAATCATTTAGTCGTAGCAGACCTAGCTGTGCTGAGTTATGCTCTTCACCTTCAAGTTATTTAGAACAGTGACGTTCTAACTCGTGAGTGTCAAGTAAGTCCCATATGAGCGTTGCTTCTGAACTAAGCTTAAATATTCAATGCTTAATCTTGATCTGGCAATGCTGCTATTGTGGTTTTGTTTTATGACTTGATTTGCACCAAAAGTATAAAAAGAAAAAAGAAAAAAAGGTGAAAGTAGGGGGTGGGGAGGTGTGGGCGGGACTACCTTTATTTTCTTGACAGACAGGCAAATTTTTCCCTTAGAGCTAAACAAATTCTGCATACTCAACTGTCAAGTTATCTTGAGGTGAAAGATTTACAAGAGCAAAGAGATAATTATGTGAGCAAAGATTTGAAAACCTAGAGCACATCAAATCATTTGATGTTGCGCTAACAAGTCTCTTCTTTTACCTGTACAGCTATGTAAGACAAATCACTCTGTTCACTCTTGATATTCCAGTCCTCATCTGTTTCTGAGTCACTGGAGTAAGTGTCAAAGAGAGAGGACGTTCTAGACCACAATTCATCAATCTGAGTAGTTGCATTACATAGTTGTGTTCCAAACACTTTCACTTTGGCCTGAATACCTGAAGGAGAATAAACACAATTACCTATGAGTTAGAATTTGCTTTTCATCCACAAAAGTCCAATTCAATTGATCAATCAACTGAAAAGTCAAAACTTACCCACACTGTAGTGAGGGGGTCTCTTCAGAGATATTTGTGTACTTTTGTGCACTGGGCCTTCCTCACAGTGAGTAGGTACTGAAGTGACATCATTAGATAGATTATCAGCATGGACTTGTGTTTGTATAACTTGATTTTCATGTGCAATCTAAAAATATAAATCAGAGGAGAATTATACTGAAGGTAAGGCCTTCTTTATATGGTTTTATCTCCTAAAAGTTATAAACAGTGAAAGAGTATAGATAATATTTTTCAAGGTCACGTACTAGGAAGGCTGGAATTTGAACCCAGGCAAGCTGGCTCCACAGTCCAAGTAGTTAAGAAGTCTGCCATACTGTCCTTTACTATTTCTAAGTCTATTTCTAAGCTTTGTGGTCAAGCAGAAATCTATACGCTGTTAAGCTATTTGCTGACAACCCATTAAATTTTCCCTAAAGAAGAGATAATACTACTAATATTAAATGATTATAATAGTATTAAGTATATCATAGCAAAGCAGTAGCATCATTCTAGAAAACCTAATTATCAGTCCTTTATACATGACAGAAAAATAATTTAAGATAATATGCTTTAATGTTTTTATGCTTTCCTGAGAAAAGTTACAACGTGAAATGGAAATTTTGATTTATGGGAGAAGTAAGAGGTAGAGAGGAGAATTTGGATATTCAGAAGGTAATGTAAGACTGAGTAACTGGAAATTATGTGGAAGAGGCTAAGAAAAGATATCTGGAAAATGTAAGAGGGTCTGTGGGAAGAAAAAATAAGTGATAAGGAAATGAAAAAAAGTACTTTGTAATTTTACCTAGACCACTGAAAAAAAATTTTAGCAAGCATCCTTGGGTGCTGTAACACAGGCTATGAATGCCCAAGTTAAAGAAACTTTATGAAGAAACTTTTGTGAAGAGTCCCTTTGTAACATGAAGAATTACACCTAATATTTTTGAGGATTTAAATAAAAATTGAAGTCTTTATCTTTGTGTTTATAGTTATGATTAATTTTGACAGCTAATCTACTTTTAAGCCAAGCATTATAAAGGTCTAGAATAAGTATATATTTCTTTACAAAACAGATGTACTCCTGATAAAATGCAGTTTTAGGAATTTATTCAGGCTTTAAAAAATAACTTTTGTTCCCTTTATAACAGTAATACATTGTATCACTAAGGAAAATTTGCACCATACAGAGAAGCAAAAAGAAAAAAAAAATTAGCCGTAATCCCGTCATTCATAGCTAACAACTTCATATTTTGGTATCATTTTTGTCTTTTTCTATGTATTTTTTAAAATTGGGAACATATGTTTTATAATCTTGTTTTCCTCTTTAATACATCATGTTTCTATGTTATTAAATATTCTACATATAATTTTTATGGCTGCATACAATCTATTGTATAGATACACTGTAATTTATTAAAACAATCCATAATATTAGAAATCTTTGAACAAAAATTTTTGTGTACATACACGATTACTTCTTTGTATTAAAAATTTAAGAAACAGAATTTCCAGATATGTATTAATCAACTAGAACATGAAGCAAAAGAAAATTTTTAGAATGAGGCAGAGAAAGACCAAAGGATGAAGGCTATAGAAAAGGTCATAAGAGGTATAGCAGAAAAGATTAAAAAACATAATATATAATATCAGTTGTAGTCCCAAAGGAAAAGAAAGAAAATGGGACAGAAAAAATATTTGAACAAATAACATCTGAGAATTTACCAAAATGAATACAAGGCATTAAGACATGGTTTTACAAAAGTACTAAATGTATTCACTAAAATAAAAACAAAGGAAAACATATCTTTGCATATTACAGTAAAACTGGAAAACAAAGAGAAAAACTTAGGAGCCAGAGGAAAAAAAGATACATTGTCTTCAAAGGGGCAACCATAAGACACAGTAAGGCTTAAACTCTTAAGGAAACACAAAGATTGAAATAAAAGGGTGTAAAAAAGATCTAATATGCTAACACTAACCTACAGAAAGCTGGTGCTGCTATATTGGTGCTATATAATAACACAGCTTCAAAATATATAACACAAAAATTGTTAGAAGACTAAATATGTAAATTAAAAACCGAGGTGGAAGATTTTTAACACACCTCTCTCAGTAACTAATAGGCAGGCAAAGATTCCACAGGGATATAAGAAATTTAAACAACATGATTAACAGACATATATGGAGAATTGTATCCAACTGCAGAACACACACTCACCTCAAGTACACATGGAACATTTATAAAAACTAACCTACGTTAGGCCTAATACAGTTTCAATAAATTTCAAAATAAATCCATATGCTGGGGCTTCCCTGGTGGTGCAGTGGTTGAGAGTCCGCCTGCCGATGCAGGGGACACGGGTTTGTGATCTGGTCCGGGAGGATCCCACATGCCGCGGAGCGGCTGGGCCCGTAAGCCATGGCCGCTGAGCCTGCGCGTCCGGAGCCTGTGCTCCGCAATGGGAGAGGCCACAACAGTGAGAGGCCCATGTACTGCCAAAAAAAAAAAAAATCCATATGCTGTATATTCTCTGGCCACAGTGTAACTGACCCAGAAGTCTATAACAAAAATATAACTACAAAATATCTGCATCTTTGGAAATTTTTAACTACACTTCTAAGTAACCCATGATAAAATTACAGTGGAAATTAGAAGATATTTTACACTAAATAATAATAAAAATATTCAAAATCTAAAACTTGTGGGATTCAGTTAATGTCACACTTAGAAGGGCATTTATAGTCTTAAATGTACATGACTGCAATTTTAACACCATTCAAAAAATTATTTCACAAGATATTTCTAACGTATCTTCATTTCAGGAGTTTTCCCTCAAACAATAAACTCTACTGAATTCTACATTTGGGAAATAAGTATGTCAAACTTAGCTGTCCCATCTGCTATTCACTATGAAAATTCTGGAAATCAATGATCCAATTTAATACTCAAGAAGTTAAAGAAAGAATGGTAAATAAAAATTGAAAAAGGAGAGAGATGAGAGAGTGAACTGTAATGTAAACGACGATGGACTTCAAGTTATAACGATACGTCAGTGTAGGCTCATCAGTTGTAACAAATGTACCACTCTGGTGGGGGATGTTGATAATGGAGAAGGCTATGCATGTGTGGGGGCAGGGGGTAATTGGGTAATCCATCTTCCCCTCAATTTTGCTGTGAACCTAAAACTTTTCTAAAAACATAAAGCCTTAAAAAATTAAAGAAAAATACTGGAAATTTTTAAATATGCAGCTCAATGTTCATAGCAGCATTATTTAAAATAGTTAAGACATGGAAGCAACCTAAGGGTCCATCAACAGAAGAATGGATAAGGAAGATGTGGCATATAAATATATAACATTACTCAGCCATAAAAAAGAATAAAATCTTGCCATTTGAAACAACATGAATGACCCTGAGGGTACTATTCTTAGGGAGATAAGTCAGACAGAGAAAGACAAATACTGTATATTTTCATTTATATATGGAGCCTAAAAAATAAAACAAATGAAGGAATATAACAAAACTGAAACAAACTCACAGATACAGAGAGCAGACTAGCAGTTACCAGTGGGGAGAGAGGTGGAGGGAGGGGCAAAATAGGGAAAGGGGATTAAGAGGTACTAACTATTGGGAATAACATAAATAAGATAAAGAGGGCAGACAGCAGAAGCAAGAAGAACTACAATCCTGCAGCCTGTGGAACAAAAATCACATTCACAGAAAGATAGACAAGATGAAAAGGCAGAGGGCTATGTACCAGATGAAGGAACAAGATAAAACCCCAGAAAAACAACTAAATGAAGTGGAGATGGGCAACCTTCCAGAAAAAGAATTCAGAATAATGATAGTGAAGATGATCCAGGACCATAGGAAAAGAATGGAGGCAAAGATCAAGAAGGTGAAAGAAATGTTTAACAAAGATCTGGAAGAATTAAAGAACAAACAAACAGAGATGAACAACACAATAACTGAAATGAAAAATACACTAGAAGGAATCAATAGCAGAATAACTAAGGCAGAAGAACAGATAAGTGACCTGGAAGACAGCATGGTGGAATTCAATGCCATGGAACAGAACAAAAAAAAAAGAATGAAAAGAAATGAAGACAGCCTAAGAGACCTCTGGGACAACATTAAATGCAACAACATTCACATTATAGGGGTCCCAGAAGGAGAAGAGAGAGAGAATGGATTCGAAAAAATATCTGAAGAGATTATAGTCGAAAACTTGCCTAACACGGGAAAGGAAATAGCCACCCAAGTCCAGGAAGCACAGCGAGTCCCATACAGGATAAACCCAAGGAGAAACACGCTGAGACACACAGTAATCAAATTGGCAAAAATTAAAGACAAAGAAAAATTATTGAAAACAGAAAGGGAAAAATGACAAATAACATACAAGGGAACTCCCATAAAGTGAACAGCTGATTTCTCAGCAGAAACTCTACAAGCCAGAAGAGAGTGGCATGATATACTTAAAGTGATGAAAGGGAAGAAACTACAACCAAGATTACTCTACCTGGCAAGGATCTCAGTCAGATTCGATGGAGAAATCAAAAGCTTTACAAACAAGCAAAAGCTAAGAGATTTCAGCACCACCAAACCAACTCTACAACAAATGCTACAGGAACTTCTCTAAGTGGCAAACACAAAAGAAGAAAAGGACCTACAAAAACAAACCCAAGGGCTTCCCTGGTGGCGCAATGGTTGAGAGTCCGCCTGCCGATGTAGGGGACACAGGTTTGTGCCCGGGTCCGGGAAGATCCCACACGCTGCGGAGCAGCTGGGCCCGTAAGCCATGGCCGCTGGGCCTGCACGTCCAGAGCCTGTGCTCCGCAATGGGAGAGACCACAGCAGTGAGAGGCCCGCATACCGAAAAAGAAAAACCCAAAACAATTAAGAAAATGTTAATAAGAACATACATATTGATAATTACCTTAAATGTGAATGGATTAAATGCTCCAACCAAAAGACACAGGCTCATTGAATGGATACAAAAACAAGACCCATATATTTGCTGTCTACAAGAGACCCACTTCAGACCTAGGGACACATACAGCCTGAAAGTGAGGGGATGGAAAAAGATATTCCATGCAAAGGGAAATCAAAAGAAAGCTGGAGTAGCAATATTCATATCAGATAAAATAGACTT